GTCCCAGGACCAGAAAACACACCCCTATATGGAGCAGACCTATGGACGTTACTTGGTAGCTCTCCACGTGCTGGTAGCTCGTTCTTCGATTCGGCAGATGCTCCATGCTATCAATACTGTTCGTTTTGGAGGACAATCTTCGCTCTAATGCTCTCTTTTTCGCCTCTCGTTCGCGTCTTCTGCGTTGGCGCTTGATCGCCATCGCCGAATGCAGTCCAGCCGACCCGTGCATCTGCAATCCAAGGGAACATAGTCAGTGATGGTGGTCTTGGTGGATTGTATGCATTCAAAACTGGCATGCGAATGGCATGAAAACTCAACACAGCACTGCACTGTACACAATACGGCCATAACAAGCCAAAAATAACGTCCCATGTGCCGTTTGCGATCTAGAACAGTTCTATTAGTAGGAAATGGTCCTTGTTGGACGTGGTGGCGTGTTGTGAGGTGGTCGGGAATTTTTAAACCCTGCTCTGTTTGTAAATGTGGGATTTGCCCCAGCTATTAGGAAATCGTTTCTGTAGTCCTATAACTTTAAAGTTCATATAAGGTTGCGATTGAATTGGGCTGATTTTATGTTTGGGGGGTTTTGGGGCCCGAACTCGTTAGTTTTCTGTCGGGAAACTGTTCGTTTGCTCAAACCCTTCCAAGACAACAGCTCCGAGCGACTCTATAAGTTCAAGCCTTGCCTTATTTCCATACAGAGTGATTCAAAATCAACGTTACAGCGGATTTTGATGAGTTTTTCCGTTATGTTTGTCATAGTCTGGGAAACCAGCCATGGACCACTTGAGCTAATGAAGCAACTAAGTCAAATAATGGTGTGAATAAGTGATGACTCTCTATCGGTTTTAGAGCGTTTTTCTCCAGAAAAATATCGTCTAACATCAAGCAATAAAAACTGATGTTGTAAAGTGCGATTTTTCAGCAAAGTTGCGCGTTTCAGCAATTAAACGCGTGTAAGAGAGTATGCGTGAACATGCAAATCGTTGAATAATTGCTTCGTGAGCGCAATTTTCAAATGCTGATCAGCAAAGCGTTTTTTTCCTATTTGCATTTTTTCGCGTTTAATTTATTGACAGACTTTCACTTGCTTTCAGATAATAATGATATAAAAAAATAAGTCATTTTACCGCAATTCTCCGAACATTTGCTAATCAAACGAAAAAACCGTCAACATATCAAAAGCGCTAAATTTCACCATTCCAAAGCTTCGTTATTTGCGCGTTTGAAACTTCGATTTCTCTAAATCTAAATATCAAAAAAACAGATATAGACATCAACACACTGCAAAGGGACATTATTTTGCAAACTAAACCACACAAAAAGTCTTTAGCTACAGAAAAAGCAGAAGCATTTTCCATCTGGGAATGAGCAAATAAAATATCCTCCACTCTGTTCCACACGGACTCAATATCATCAGTCTTCCCCTGTCTAACTGCGTATTTACGGCAAGAGATTAAAAAAGGAGGATTTAGCATGCTTCGCGATTAAAAATAAATTGATCGATATTACTGGCAACGGCGGAAAAATTGAAAAAGCAATTATTAAAACCATCCTGGCAGCCAGAGAAGATCGTCTAGATCGTAACCAGTAAAACATAATTTGGCTTCTTCTAATCGCCCTGTTAATTGAGTAAAAACCCGATTTTAACAGGTTTTGTGCCTGAACGTTAAAGGGCAAAGGCCAGGGTTTAATTATTTGTCACCTGGAATTTTTCAGGCAAATTCAACCGTATCTGCGCCTGTAAAAGGACAAAAGACCTCGAAACCGCAGGCAAAGGAGCAACGTTTAATTAGCGATACCAACTACTCAAAAAAAGCAAAATTTAGTATCTGTATTCGGAGGACCGGAAGGATCCAACGAGGTCGGCGGTAGTCATTTATTCCGGAATATAGAGTGGAAGCGAGCTAAACTAGGGCATTCTGAAGTTCTGATTGTTAGTTTCCATAGCAAATCTGCGAGTAATGAAGACTTAATTCGCTGGGAAATTGCTAAGTTGCTTTATGGACAGTTTGATGAATTAATTGGAAAATTCTATAGAATTGTTGGTTTTGCTCCCAATATCTCAGTGTGAGGGTGCAAAGGAACATTAATTTCTCATTATAAATGACCTGGTTTAAGGCCTTTGCGGTTGCTGGATTGATCGAATTCGGCATTTTTCCAGAAACCAAATCTTCCGCTACATCAAGCAGATAACTTTAAGCGACGTGCACCTCGGCTACATTAATGTGTTTTGTGCCTTTTGCGTCGCTGCATTTGGCTGAACACTCAAGAAGATTGCCAACAAAACTAATTAATAAAATATGGGGATTTTAACTCTGAAACCTTGTTTCTATTGGAAAATATTCGACTTTAGTGGGTTTTAATGCCCAATATTATTTGACCTTGTTCCCGAACTGCAAAGATATTAATCTGTGAGTCGTTGAGCGGAAACCTGGCATTTTTCCAGTAGGAAACCATCCATTTTAAATGGCCCCAAGTTGCAGTGTTATAAAAACTCTTTTAGTTCACTTTCTGCATAGACTTTATGGAGCTTTTACGTGGCTGTTTTTGACTTTCAACTGTAAAATTTCTACACTTTCAGAAAAAAATTGTTCGATGCAACAGAACAGTATTTAATATTTTCTAAGCTACGAAATATCCTCAAACAGGCCGGAAAGTTGACACAAAGTCCATCAGGAAATTGCACGGTAATTTTCCATTACATAGGTGCAGAAACGGTAATTACCCTTTATTTTTAAGTAATGAAAATGAATTATTCACAGCTGGTTTGCACAGAGGCAAGCGGCAAACTAATTTACTTTTATTATCGAAAATTGCCTCAATTTCTTGACGAATATAATTAAAACCTCCATTAGTTAGGACTGGTACCGCGATATAAGCTGCTATTGCCTTGAAAGTTGAGACTTGGGAATCTTATCAAACAGTCAACGCATTTAATGCTTGGGCTTTAATTTATCTTACACATAAAATAGTCTTAAGATCTTTGTGTGCAATTATAGAGCTTCTCGTTGCTTGTGCAACAAGCAAAGGTTAAACCAATTCTCGGCTAGTTTTTGAAAATAACTCAAACCAGAAGGCAAAAAGTTCTCAATTTTTTTTTATTGCTATAAAGTACAAAGCCTCCACACAGCCCTATCGCTTCTAATTTATTACACGAAATTCTTGCAAACTGTCCTGGAAATGTGCAAATACTGTTATAGCATGCACATTAGCCACGCAACTGCAACATATCACTCAGTTGAAAGGAAAAACTCAACTTTTCGCTAAATGTGTGTTTCCTCAGTCATTTGCATTCAGTTTTAAAGCGGAAATTTTCCTAAACGTTTACTAATTAATCCATTTTCATAGAATGTAAACCGTTTAGTAGTTTTTGATTGGTTTGGGTAATTAACATTAACATGTTGCGGGGGTTGGGGCTGGAAGCAAAGATGCCTCAATAAAGAGAGCAAAACGTCGACCTTTTTAAATCCAGGTTTTTGTTTCACATCGCTCCAAATCCCGATAAAAAATAAAAATAGCCGCTTTTGCAAAGCATCGTCAAAGCTTCCAGAAATTGTTTACTTTCTTGGGAAATGACTCGTAAAAATCAGGTCATCCAGAGTAAGCCAAGTTCTGCAAACGCCTAATTCGAAATAAATTCCGGATAAATCTCGGGTTATCTGATATGTAATGCACAGTGACAGACCCCTGGAGAGAAAATCGCTACAAGTTTGGAAATATGATACGGAAAATTGACACATACAGGTTGAAACTTGGATTTGAGGGCACTAAAGTGGTGCGAATAGTGGCGCCAGGCCGCTGCGATGATTGATAGGGTTGTTTTCGCTCAATATTGCTCAGCAGGTTTTACCTGAATGCGCTCATTTTATCACAACATATTCAATCTTTAAGTAACCAGGTGGAAACCATTAGGGCTCATGTTTGCAAAAATGCAAAAATATTCTAGCCAGTGATAATCCAGAAGATATTTTGCTGCTACGACGGCTTATAAACCCGAAAACCTCTCCAGCTGCCACATAAAATTTATTTATGAATATCTAGTTCATGTTAATGTTAATCAATTTGCAGAGTTTCTGTTTAAAAAGTTTCCGCCCTTCCAGCAGACGGGCCTTAATTAATAAATAATCAGGTCAAGCGTGAAACCTATCTCGACTTTGCCTAATTTCTCCCTGACGGCAAAATAGATAACAACAGATTCAGCAAATGACGCCGAAGAGAATTTCCTCGTTTTTTACTGTCAGCGACTTGATGGTTTTCCTCTTTTTCTTACTTCTTTCCGTCTTTCATTCCTCGTTCTCTAATAGAGACGAACCGAGGGTGACATAGAATTAAAAATTTAGAGGAACGTCCCTCATGTACTTAATGTACTTAGGAGTTGTTAACCTCTGTTGCTGGAGAAACTCCCCTAGACACCACGAAAAGCTCCTGAATTATCCTCGGTAAAAACAGGGATTTTAAACCATAAAGTTTTCCAAGTGAAACCCTACAATTTACAAAAAAAATAAAATCCCTCTAACCAGCGAACCCTCGGTTGGCCTTAGCCGTTTTACCGAATCGCAGTTCTTCGGTAAATATTTGACCATTTTCGCCGATAAATCAAACGGATAATCCAATAGCAAAGTTTCACAGTCAGACGGTAAATATTCAACACAAGTCTTGGAGTTTGGAACGAAAGTTTCCGACTCTGGTTCGAATTGTGCTGCACAGATGCTGTTCTACTTCAGATTAACTACTTTGAACCTGAATAAATAATAAGGGAAAGTCAATGAGCCAAAAGGCAATTAAGTGCCTGCTACTCAAAGATTATACCCACAGGGAAAGGGCTCTTCACTTTACTTTAGATCACTTGGAGAGGTATTTAATGGACCCAGCAAACGCGGTTGCTTGAAGCAAAAATACTGTAAAAAAGTGCTAGTTTTCTATTTCCGCATTACACCAAAGAAAACACTCAAACAACAACAACTCAAAGCTAAAAAAAGTCGTCAAAGTCTTACCTTGACTATGAAATTCTCCCAAATTGAATAAACGATGTGCTGGTTTTTCTGGACGTTAACAGTTACATAACTTGCGGGACGTTGATGTCACTCAGGGCGACTAAGGATTCGTCAAATTTATCAAATAAACAGAAATAAGAACCGAAAACAGTTCGAACACTTTACGAAAATTGGTCCCAGCAAAGTGTACGTTTCTGTGGCGAAATTACTTCATAACTTAGAGTGGCGAGCAAATTGCGATGAATGTAAAGGGCTGTCTTGATGAGCTGTGATCTGCAACAAAGAAATATGGTTAATGGAAAATTCTGCTCGAATTTCAGACGTTTCGGAAGTCCCATCTACTAACGATTTGTTTGGCATTTAAAATTCATAATACTTCAATAAAAATATGAAATAATACAGTATAAGGACATCGAGTTTGTTCCAAATTTGCTCCAAATTTTTCCTATCAATGAGGAACATTTCTTTCAGCAGAACATTGTGTGTTTCAGTCAATCATGTAATCAGTACCAAGAGGGTTTACTAGCTTTTATGCTGCTATAAACCGGAATTACATTGGGATGCGGGCTTTGGCTTCCAAACTACTCAAAACGGGTCTTAATTTTACGGTATTTTGGATCAGGAAGTTCCAGCGTCTTTGTTCTAGAAAAATAGTAAATCAGTTTTTTGAGGCATTTTGAGGGAAATCAGTTCCGTATCTGCGGTCACAAATCAAAATTTCAGCTTTAATCTTCTGTTCTGTTCGCGTTTATTTTCCGACCAAAACCAATTTAATATAACGACAGCACTTTTAATGATCTACAATTCGTTTTCAATTTTTATCGGCTTAACGCAGCATAATTACTTGATCTACAAAGAATCTACGGGCAAATGATTAGTTAAACCTGCCGATGCACGAGCAGCTTCGCATGTTACAAACTGAGTTAATCGGATTTGGGCTTTAAAGTATCGGTTTTCGCTCCTAACAGGTGCAAATTACAATCTCGTCCTTTAATAATCGGAGTTCGAAGCAACAATTCTCCTTGATTATAATGGCAAAATAACAGGCCAGTTCTCGTTGTAAATTCGGCTGATTAATTGAAATTCCATACAAATTTACACTGTAATTATACACAGACCAATTAAGAATATCAAATTGAAGCCGCTCATCATCAAAAACAATTTTTCCAGACGTTTCAAGAGCATGAATGGCTGGCTTCAGAGATGGTTTCCCCGCTGTTGCAAGCCCGAAAAACTGAACAGTTTAATACGTTTAGGATATTTTGATTTTTCTCCATTTCCCAGTCTGGGGCTTCTCCCATTATTAATTAAAGGGACCAAGCCAGTTCCTCCTTCCGGTCATTTATCTTGTGGTCAATAAGCCTAATGCAGCCGCTAGTGGCATGGCCATTAAAAATTGTACATTTTGTACACTTTCGCGGCAAAAAGTAAGACTACAGTTTTCAGTTTGCTATTATAATCTCCCAGCAAGCCTCAAACGGGCAGGCCAAAAGCCACTTTCAGGTCGCATATTCAAAGAGGCTCTAATCGCATTTTCGCATCAAAGGGATAATATTTGCTTGGAGGTCATAAAAGCGAAATTGCTGGCCTTTACATCGAAGACTTTGGAACTACACGTGGCCGAAAAACGTAAAAACAAAGAAGAAATTTGATAAAAGAAGCACTTTTTGCACAGCTTGGTACTTTTTCCCCTGCTAATTGGCTAATTCGCTGCGCGGCTTAAAGCAGACTCATTTCCATGCCTTGAATCACAATAAGACTTCGCCTTGGATGAGAAATTCGAAACTAATAAGAATTTAGTTGGTAGGATTTAATGCCACTTTCAGCTTTAGCAGAAGATTTAATAACATCATGTATCTTCACTGTTGCTTTGTCTTCGCTCGGCGCGTGTTTCGATTCGGGGGCTTTAATAACACTTTAAACCGAAGTTGAGAGAAGTTTGACTTGAAAAGTTTGTCGCCAAGATTTTCCGGGCAGATAACGTCCAAATACTCATATATGGAAGATTAGGAAGMGTTAGTTAGAAGAGTTAGTTCAAAATTCCATTAAGTACGAGATAAGTCGRAAAAAATTAAACTTGGGATTTGAAATTGCTGATAAACTGCGACTTTTTCATGTAGCTCTATTTATGCCGACCAGAACATTAGCAGCWATTTTTGGAGATTTTACTTCAAAAACTATCGACGCAATATTAACGTASATGGATAAGCAACYATGAAATCTTCCAAAAATTGCCCACATAGTGAACTACAAAAGAATCAAAGTTTTTAGTCTTTTCCAGCAGCAAAATAGAATTTTCCCCATTGCTRTCRAAGTGCGAACTATTAGGAAAGAGGCTTAAGAATTTGACATTATTTTTCTGCGAATTTTTTMATATTGGACTTTTCAGTYTTTCCAGCTTTTACTTGCAGACTAAATGTAAAATATGCACCACAATTGGCAAAGAACATGTGATTTATCGGCGGCAATTATTTAAAAATGCTTTCWAGCAAAACAACATTAAATATTAACATGTTTGTTTAGTCCTCTGTCTATCGGATTTCAGTAAAAATTGATTAAACATAGAGAAAAACCATGATTTGATGTCAACATGGAGCTTTTCAGCAAAGTATAAAATAAAACTAAAATGTGCGTCATACTCTATTAAATTATGAGCGCTGTTTAAAAATCCAAACATTTTTTGAACTTAATACAAAAAAAGCAATTTTCATAAAAATAAATCAGTAGGAATTACAAATTTAATATCACTACAAAAGCTAACAGGCAATTAAAAGCAGCATAAATGTTTCAGATGTATAAACTAAAAATAACTGTGAATCATATTCGAACAAATTATGAACCCAAAAAGGTAAATCTGAAAAATTCGCAACTTACCAGGATTGCAATCACAATTGAGGCCAATTCTAAATTTACTCGCGTAGAGCAGAATTTTTGAGAAATTGTCGTCTCAATACCGAAGGAGAATCAACTGAAACTTCGGGAATGGCACAAATACTACGCTTTATCACTACGCATTGGCACAGCTCTAGAACGACTAACAGAGAAAAGAAGAGGGCTCAAAATGGGCGGTTCCGCTCATATTGATTTTCCATGAAAGCTCTATATTCTATTGCTACGCCATACCAATACGGCAGCAGTGCGTTCGAAGATTTTTGATGGAAAAACCCATGAGGGAAGAAAAAACCACAGAATAATAACACGAAGTAATTAGATGGCAAAATTTGTTGCATCCATATTGGACTACAACCGTGAGATTAACAGACAATTATCTGAGCCTATGGGTGCAAGAAAAGTGGTTTCGTTCAGCTAATCAAAAGTGATCAATCTTCCATTCGCAAGAAAAATAAAATATCTTTGTTCTTGAAAAAGTTTTTCGATGTTTTGTTTTACCGGGGAAACAATCAAAAGCAAACTCCATCTAAAAATTCCTGTTAAAATGCTCAACTCCTGAAGCAATCATTGGTTTAGCCAAATAAGGATTTCCATAGGTTTAGTGAAACTATTGATTGCGAACGTCCTCTAGGGCAATGCACTGGGAGAAAAGCTCTTGTGGACATGGTCGAGGTCTCGAATGCATCTTACCGAACGCCAGAAGTTTTACGTTTTCCGGGAAACTGGCAAAGAGCAACGAATTATTTACACGTTAACTAACACCAATTGTCTTCAGATTTCCCGTTTTTCTAGTCCCGCAACAAAGACGCAGTTTGTTGGGTTTGCTGCAAGCATTTTATTAAAATAATTATCTTGGGAATAGCACAATGAAATTAAAACCAAGTGCGAAACTATGCACTAATGAGTGGTAAACAACCGACATTCCAGCTACCTTCTTGCTTATTTAAATGGGCGTTAAATGAGACGTTGTAACATGAAACACCTCGCATGCACTTTATTTCTTCTGTGCATTTTCCTTATTAACGGTCTATAATGGCATATAATTCATGCATCAGACTTTACAAGTGTAGTAATCAATATGGATTTAAATACATAGAAAAATTGAGCTTTAATGAATTTGTGGACGGTCTGCGGGAAATATGCGGTTTTGCCACAAAAGGTGGCAAAACGGTGTCAAGAAAATGTCAATAAAACCAAGATTTTCCTCCGAAATTTTCTACTACAATTTGCAAGATGGTAAGGGAGAAGCTTCGAACAGCCTCTGGGCGGAAAGTGAAACAGTCGTCAATTCCTTAACAACTATAAGCGAGGAAAGTCCAGAATTAGTGGAAGAAATCCCGAAGCCAAAACGGGAACTGAAAAAACTAACATGGGGCCAGGACTCATATGAGGGCAGCGTTCTACTTAACAATCTTCATGGCTCCGGATTTTATTTCGCCCAGCAAAACGGAGAAAAGTTCTTTTACGACGGCTTATTCTACGCCAATAAACTGGAGGGATACAGTCAAGTGTTTTATGAAAACGGCACGCACTTTCAAGGGCTTTTTCAAAAACACCGCAGATTTGGACCGGGCATTTTAACCCACCCTGATGGAACACAAGACGTTGGCTTTTGGAATGGGTTCTTCTTGAGCCGTTTGGCTTGCGTGATTGGAGGCAATTCAGTTCCCAGTCTGGCTAGCAGCGCAGCAGCAAAAACGAAGCTTTTATGCACCAAATACATGGTTCCTTTGAACCAGAATGAAAACGATTTAGTCCAGCTGGCTCTGGAGCATTTGGGTGTGGGTTCTGATGAAGACAACGTGGATTTTAGTGGGGTTTTCAACGAAGAGATTCGTAACCCCAACAGTTTGTTTTTCCACACTCAACTGTTTGATGAGCACTTTTTTGGAAGCGATAACTGTACAATTAAGGTTTTCCATCAGGAACTGGCCGACGAGGAGGAAGAGGAGATGAGTTCAGTTGATGGGCAGGCGGTTGAAAGAATGGAAAACTTGAAAAGGAAAATTCACGAAGTCAACGAAACTCTGCAAACGTTCATAGTGATTCGCCAAAGCTTGGAAAGGAGGGTCAACAAGTGCAAGAACTGCTGCAGCCGGCAACAACCGGCAGAGAGAAGTGAGAAATTGCAGGCAAAAGAGCAACTTTACACTTTAACACGTAAGATAAAGCTGCAACATTTCTGCGCTCTAAGCGGCTCATCAGTTGCAAAAGCTGCTTGAATGTTGCTGATTGATTTTGTGACTGAGCACATCTTTTCCTTTGGAAATTGGAAATTTTTCCATTTTTTCCTGGCTTTTGACTAAAGCTGCAACTATTCAGCATTGTTTCTATTCCTAGAAAAAACTCACGAAGCAGCCAAAAATTTTCCTTCGGAAAATTCATCACAAAGTCTAGAAATCGTCGCTGATATTAATGCGGAAGATATTGAGGATTTCAACTTACCGGCTTCAACTGCGCAATTGGCAAACTACTCAGATGGTTGTGCTTGCGCCGAAGAAGAAGGCGCTGTTGATTTGGAGAATTTAGAGGAACAACTGCAGAACATTTGGTGTCAAGAAATATTTTACAGGTACTTTAGAAGCAAAGGCCCAAATCTTCCCAGATTTAACATTTTTTCCAGAAACATCAGGGACGAATTGGCAAAAAAACTAGACCGACTGGTCGAAAGAACGTCAACCAAACCCGAAACGGGGGCATTCAAATTGGTGCACGTGAATGAGGTTTGGGCTTGGAACAACGAAAACTCCCTCATTTCCATGCAAAAGCACGCCTTTAAGCATCGCCACTCCGAAGATATGGTGAATTTCAGCGTCCCCAGTCTCATTTTAGGTAACTGGTGGGAAAATCTACGAAAAAGGTTTTAAACTGTTCAACTTGAAGGCAACCGGAAGGAATTCGGGGCAGCGGGAGCGCATGAAGAGATCGGCCAAAAGTTCCTAATGGCCTGCCATAAGGGCAAAAAGGGGTTTGTTAGTGAATGTCTTCGCAACAATAAAATCGATTCAAATTTGTCGGACTCGCGAGGAAATAGCGGAATGTTTTTTGCTGCCGCCAGCAACCAGCAGGACATTATTGCGATTTTAACAAATTTCGGGGCCAAGGTTGACCAGCTGAACGACGAGCAGTTGACGCCCTTATCGCTATGCTTCTTAAAGTACATTGCCCAGAAGAACAGTTGCAAGGATTGGGAAAAGGCCTTTTTGCCAGGCAGCGAACGCTGCGATCTGCCAGAGCTTCCCAAGTGGTACGACATCAAGTCTTTTCAAAGTTCCACGACTAATTCCTCTAAAACATCCACCTGTCGCGAGGAGGGCAGCAATCAGCAGTTACCCTGCTCGAATTTGCGCATTATTGATCTGCTTCGCAAAATTTCCAATTTTGAACAGACCGAAGGTACTTGAGGGGGTTTCCAGAAGTTTGCAACCTTATCCGCTACTGTTTGCCAGGTGTTTTGCGCCCCAGTTGCAGTTCTACCTACGTTTTCGATTTAAGCTGTAACCGCAATAAGTTCGCCAAGCAAACTCAACTAGAATCTGATCGGAGTTTGAGTCTGGAATCGATCCAACTGACCATAATGACGCTTCTGGATTACGGCGCCAACCCCAGTGGGTGCGAAGTGCCCCATCCTCCTTTGGTTCTTTCGCTTTTCACTGAAAATCCCGACTTAGTCAAAGAGGTGGACGGTGTCCGGTTTCTTAAAAATTTCCTGTGGCAAATCCCCTCATTGCAGGTGATTAAAGCCAATGCAGACATCGACGTTGTAATAGATGAGAACGTTTCGTGTCTGCACATAGCGGCCTCTTTGAATCCCAGCTTGGCAAACACGACCATTTGCCGAATAATCGTAAAATATGGTTGCAACCCCAACGTGAAAACCTCCCCAAATCACTGGATTGATAGGAAATATGGCATTACGGGGAAACTGCCGGAAAATTTTCAAGTTGCCGATGACGGGAAAAACGTGCTTCACTTGTTGTGCATGAGAACGGACTTCGAAGGAGATCAGTCGAATTATTTCTGTGCAGTGGCCAAGATATTGCTTGGGACTGATTTGGACTTAAGCGCAATGTATTTGGGGCATACGCCGCTTTCACTGGCCGTGCTTGCAGGTAAAACAGCAAAAATCCATCCAGTAAACCTTAGATGAAGACTATTGGTTGCAGGCAATGTGAAACTTGTGCAATGTTTAATAAAAGCCGATGCATTCGACCCGTACAAGCAACTGGATTATGGCATGGGGAACATTCTGACATTGTTCGCTTTAAAGCGATTCGAAAACGTTCTTCCTCTGGACAAGTGCAAGGCCATGCTTACGGCCCTATTCGAAGTGGGGCTGAACGTATTGGCTAGAGTGGCAAATTCCGAAAATGCGACGGCTTTCGTCGAAGACGAAGACACGTTTTTCGATGCATTTGTTCCGAAAGCCCCCAAGAAAGCGCCGCGCGATAAATCGAAAAAAGACAAACATTACGCGGGAGTAGTCAAGGAATTTTTGAGGAGTTTGGCACGACAAACCCTAATCAAACAAGTGCAGATGGACGTTGCATATTTGCTATTTGAACTGACTGAGGAAGGTAATTTAATTTAGTCTCGAAACTCCAATCAAAGGGGATGCAAACTTGTATTATAGTGTGTATGATCGGGGTTGAAGTTTAGTTCAACCCTTGAATAAAAATATGGCCATATTTTTATTCAAGGTTGAATCCCCTTTGACTGCAGTTTCTTCAATGTGTACACACCCGCTTGTTTCTAATATTTTTTTCTGCCAATATTTTACGCATCGACACTCTCAAGTGCGATTTTTTGCGACTCACCGATATAAATGATTGTGGTACAGAATATTTTTTTTAGTCATTATTACCGTTTAACAGATATGCTGAATAGTTCAGAAATATTCGCCACCCTGGCCTCCCTATACTTAGCGCCGGAAGATCTTCTGCTAAACTTGAAAAAACTCTTCGAATATGGAAAAATCGAGCACGATCGCCTGGATAAGGCGCATGTTAAAACAGTACTGGACTTCGTTAACACGCACAAAAAACCTGTAAAGGCGAAAGCCAAAAAATCCGACAAAAAAACGGGGCCCAAGCCTCAAGAAGCCGATGCCGTTGAAACGCTGCATCTGGAGTTCGAGCGGACTCTTAATCTCCGTTTTATTCCTCCGAAAAACCTGCCCTTGCCAGGTAAGTAAAGTGCTGAAAAAATGCAATTGGAGGAAACTGTTCAAATCCCCACTCAACAACCGTGTGCTCTTTCAGCAGGTCTGGACGACCCTCAAAAATACCTTATATGCTACCACTGCTTACGAGGTGAAGAGAAAACGCTCAAAATATGCCCCCGGTGCCAGATGGTGCGCTTCTGCTCCTCCCAATGCAACAAGTTGAACTTGAAACTCAAAACCCTTCACACATGCAACGTTTTGTTCTACGACATGGCCAATGGGGAGCAAGCGGTTATTTCCAAAGGAGTGGCTTTGAGGGAATTGTCGGAGAAAGTAAGGCAAAAATGCGCGGCCCGCCTGAGCAGGATGAGGGAGTCAAAGTTGGAGGAAGAGGAGCGAAAACTGATGCAAATGTGGCGCGCCGACACATATGGAACAAGGTTCCTTCAAATCAAGCCCTTATTGGATAAAGCGGTTACTAAAAAGAAAGGTGAATTTCCACCTTCGAGAAATTCAGTCAGAAACACTGCTGACGTTCTTTGGGTGTTCAAGGCAAACAGTTGAATTGGGACCTTGGCCTCCTGCAAGGGTTGTTGGAACGGAATTTTCGAAAACACCCTGGAGACGCCTCGTTGTACTCGCTGGAGAACCTTCTGATAAAACTGCATGGGAAAGATTGGTTTAGAATATTGGGACAAACGAAGTCCGAAGGAACAATTCGGACCAAACAGAGCTGGAGCACCAGAAGAAGCACTTTGGGCGGCAGCACTTTGCCCAGCATGATTTTCCAACTGCCCGAACCAGAGGAAAAGCTGCACCGCAAATCCTGCAAGTGCGGCGTTCGTTTGCAAGCACTGTTTTTCGTTGTTTATCTTGAGTACCCCATAGGTGCCCCAAAAAAATCGCTCGATCCAAGTCTAACGATAAAATTAAAGCAAACATTCAAAAGGCTGATAATGAACCGAAACATGAAGACGATCCCAACGTTAACGAGTTAGAGCTTTTGTTCAGCCAAGCAGAAAAGCGCCCAGTGATTAGAAAACTGAAAAAGATCCCTACAAGGTACCAAAAGTTCGTGGAAATTGTCGCAACATATTTTCCAGATTTCGACATTTCCCAATGGCTGTTACCATACGCCTGTTGCAGTGGCGGGCAGCTTTTCTATAGGTTCTGCTACAATAATGATGTGTTTAAGGAAAGCTACAGTTTCACCTAATTGGACAGTCAACAGGCACTGAAAATCGTACTTCCGATATAAAAATTTATTCTAAAATTTGTAAAATTATAACTAAAAACCATAAACTATAAAGGCACTAGGAATAGATTTTGGACGTTCAAGACTTCAACTATCTTTTATTAAAAATTAAGTCAAAATCGCATAATTTAAAAATATAACACCCTCTCTATACTTGGCCATTTTCACGCACTTCTATTGAATAATGCTGTGAACGTTTTTTTGCTTCAAGAAAAACCGAACTTCTTGCTTCACAAACTGCTTGTTGGGTATTTCGCCTCAAAAATTTTTGTCTTTAAAAAAGACAGAATTCTTAATGCGAAATAAGAGCACTATTTATCAATCTGTAATAAAAGACGTGAGGAAATGCTGTCTTATTTTAGACAAAATACCCAACAAGCAAGTTAAAAAGTAAAAAAATTAATCCGTCTCAACAATATAGAACTTATCTACAACTTAGTTTTTGGCTTGTCTCTAATGATCAGGATAAACATTTCCTTGATTTCCAATTAAAAAAAATATATTCTCTACAACGTTCAAAAGAATCACATAACTCTTAAAAGCCGAAACAATTATTTCATTGGTCTCACGATCATCCACATTATAGAAGTATGGGGCACGTCCAACAAAACCCTTCTTTGACGCACATTAACCATTAGAATGGGCTGTAGTTGCAATGGAAAGTCTTAGGTGGAATGATTGCCGTTAAGGCGCATTCCATTGCAATAACACGCACGTTTCTTTGGCATTCAGACTTGAGAGATGGACAGGCAGTTTTATGTAAGCGAAAAGCTTAATGTTCATTTTTCACTGTCTACTTTCAACTTGGAAACAACCGTAAACAAACACAATTCAGCTTCCAGATAAACTACTCACTGATTAGCAGTTGCCTTAACTTAAATAAATGGCAAATATGTAGGTTTTTTTGTAATTCTGAGCTCTGTAATCGGTAAAAACCCCAACGAAGGTTCAGTAATTAAAATGTTTTTCTTGTATTTTCTTAATAAAAACTGTTTAATTATTAACCACTTTCAAAGGTGTTTCCACCCAGCGTCATTCTGTCTTAATCAGCATGGATTTGTCTGTATAATAATAGACAATGTACAAACAATTACTAAGGTGCGCGCTCCCAAAAGGAGGCAGCTTCGAAAATAATAATTTTAGATTGGATATTTAAGTTGTCAAATCAACTAAGGTAAAGGTGGAAAATCTTGCAACGACTTCAAGCTCAATCGTTGACAATTTGATTTCTTACCGCTCCAAGGAAACCGAGGCGGCGAATTAGTTCTTTGCCTCCACGGCAAATTTTCATACTTGCTATTTTCTCCGTCTGGTCTATTAGACGACTTTTTCTTGGGAGTCTTTTGACTTCCCGCTGGCACGCTATTGCACAAGGCAGCTTCATCTTTACCGGAACTTGCCTCATTTTCCCGTACCAATCGGTGCTGTTTCTGCTTGTGTCTTTCCCTGCACTGTTTAAGTAGCGTGCTGATCGGCACAGGTGCTGGCTCATCTACTGAAACGTGTTGACTTTCCGTCTTTAGACCTGGTTTTGAAGGAGATGGTGTTTCCTGCTTTATACAATCCTCAAACTCATCGATCTGTTTTCTTGAAGGCGATGAAGCTGAAGTATTTGCTACCGATTCTGTATCAGATTTTACATCTGGTTGGGCCTTACCACTATTTTCAGCTATTTTAATCTCTTCCATTGCACGCTCCAGTCGTTTGGCTCTCTGGTGGGCGCGTATTGCATTTTCCGTAATTTCATTTGCGTATCCTAGTGGTGCTACCTGAGGAAAAACAGATATTAATTATTGGATTAGATCAAATAATTAAGCAAAACTGCGTGTCGCAAGAGATTGTATCTCTTCTCTCTTAATGATTGAGTTATTGCTCGCATTGAAAGTTCGAAATTAACTTCAAACTCACTCAACTAATGTGCTCCTGATTCTTTGGCTTTTAAAACTCCGATGACGCCTATTTCCTTCATCTCTAGTTTGAGCATTGCGTTATTGAAAAAATGTGTTTCTTCTAGATTACTTATCCCAAAACATGTTTGCAAGTTCAAGTAGAGTGTATGCCTACCTTTCTAATATCTCGAATCAGTTCCAGGTCATCTTCCGACAACCCAACTTGATGTCCAGGTGGATGAAATATATTTCGGCCTCCTCGTCCTCGGCCTGAAGTAACGCGAGTCACATGCTGTTCATTTCTGTAGAGAATCGCCTCCGGATTGTTTTCTTCGTCTTCGCTAGTAGCTGGGCTAGTAGCTGTATACGCTGTAGTTTCTGGACAGCTGTAGTCAGCATCAAATATACTAGCGGCGTTGTTCTCCCTGATAATTTGTTGATATCTTTGGATAGTTATTGGGGGAGGAGCCAGTATTTCCGGAATGGGCCCCAGTTCGGAATACTGCATGAGCTCGCGCTCAAAATCATCCAAGTCTGCGCTCATGATGACCTGGGCAGTTTTTCCTAGACCAAAAATTCCTTAATTGCAACCTATTCAATATACACGTATTTTTACGTTACGTCCAGGATTTGAAAAAGTTTTTGCTCTGAAAGTAGTAGTCAATATTTGAATTAACATTGACTTTAAAATTTTACGTGGTGAATGGCGTCTTTTTAACGTACCTTGAACAGCTCTGATTTCTGTCACACTGCTACTTATTTTTATACCAAGTTGTTCGAAACAACCTGCTGCTAATAGTCGACAAGGACTTGAAGATTAGGGAAAATAACATTGTCGCAGAGACAAGACTTGTCTCTGATTGTCGTTTTTTAAGGTTTTGATGTCATTATTTGGTGACACTGGCAGCAGTGACATGGCCGGGTCTGACTCCCATACCGCTTACATCCACTTACATTTTAGAGTAACGTTGCAGAAGGTATTGCTATTCCCGAAAAGGAAAAGGATAGAGCTAGTTGCGCCACTTTAAAATCTAACTTTTTTTAAAGGAAATATGTTTGATTTTGTTACTGTTTAATTTTACTAAAAATAATATTTAGTTAACAGAATTGATTGAGAAATGAAAATATTTAATTCAAAGAAATTTGGCTCTTTTAAGCAAATTGCATTTTTTAACTATTTACGGTGTTAGCAAAAATAAGTGTTTTATACAGACATGAATTTAAAAAAAAAGTACAGAACCCAAATTAAACATAATTAATGGACAAAAGGGATTTTTTTATAACGAGACCCTTATCCTTTTCCTTAAACGCTTTGTATTTTTTCAATTATAAAAAGTTACTAATTGTTAAAAATAATTATTTGCTAGTTTACATTTTTTTATTTATGAGCGGAAGAAAAGCAGTTCTATTCTCAAGTGGTGCAGACATTGACGTTCCAACATATGGGATTTCACATTTATTATTATT